TGTGCTACGCATGTCACCAGATAGGTTGCCACGGCGAGCGATGCTTGGCGAGGCAGGTAGCGGTTGGGAAAGAGTGGAGAGCGATTAAGCTGAAACCTGGCATGAGGGTATGGAAACCCTGACCAGGAAACTGGCTCACATCGGTCCCTTTAGGCTCCCTGGCTGGGGACCCAGAGATCATGGTCACCGGTGGCTAGAGACACTGAGCGATATGGCCGGGTGTCGCAAACAGTGGCTCTCAGGCATCTACTCCAGTCTATGAAAATGTGCCACTTTCCGCCTAAATCTGCTCTCAACATTCCGGTCATCATCCTTCTATTTCATTTAAATAGGCAACCAAAACCGCTGCACGAAAGTGCATGGTTAACGTTTGTAAGTACGGAACTGAACTGATACGATATTAAATTCCTGGATCAAACTGCTTCGTATGAAACGTGTTTCTACTATAGAATGAATACAGGGGAACGAAATAGGGCTCCTCCCAAAAGTGTATTTCCCCAAGGAGTTATCTCTTCAGTTGAGTGACGCAAGTCTGGTTCATTGGGGATGATCACGCCTATTTTACTGTTTCCTCTGTTCTTTTACTCGTCTTAGAAGGGTTAGTACACCAGTTCCGTTGCCTAGGTGATTTTTGTGAGTGAAATACTTGCGATTTGAACATCTGCTATACTTTTCTCGTATTTAGACATACTGGACAGTGAGTCAGCCATCATATCGTCAATCGATCAGTTATGCTCAAAATAAATATACTGTTTTTTTGTGTATTAGAATCTACGGTTGTATAGCCCCTTCATTCCACGCTTAAGACTTACTAATCCAGGTTATGAGTACCTAGTAGTTTGATTATTGTTTTCAGCTTTATAAGCACCGGTTCCTCATATGCATATCATTTTTGTCCACCCCGCTATCGCAGAACCTCGAACTTTGAGACGGAGTACGGTCAGAGCGACAGCCGCGACTGACGCAGAAGCGGAAAGACGTCGAATGACCAGTTCGAAGAACACAGACGTACGACGTGAGGCTTTGCTTGCCGAGATCGCTCAGCGAAAAAATGTACCCGAAGTACGCCGTCTGACTCAGGAAGAGCTATTGGCTGAGGCCAAAGTCACAGAAGAAATTAATCGGCGTTCCTTAGGTACTTCCTCTCCGTTATTTTTTATTACACCGTAAATTACCTTCTAAGTTTGATTTGTTACTCTTTTGCAGTATTTGGAAGACAGCAGACTGTATCGAGGTGAAATTGTCTATAGTGCCTTTGAAGAAACTATGTGCGGGTTAAGTCATAAGTGAAAATCGTTTATCGTACCACATCATGGTTCATGGTGTGTTTTCCCCTTGAATAAAATGTCGCATGTATCTGCCACCAATATAATACCTTTCTTGGGTCAAGAAAAACAAAATACACATCAAACAGCCCCCAAAACCCTCGTATTCCACTTGTGAATGGGTCTCACAAACCAAACCTTGGATCCTTCCAAACATGTCGTTTTTTTAATAATCTGTCTTCGCAATCGTTTTGTCGTCAGTATTTGATCTCCGTACCTTCTATTCGGCAACCTATATTAATGTGTAATAGTTTTGGTGACATGAACTTGAGCAATTCAGATTCTGTAGATGGTGAATGTTTGGATTAGCCTATTCGGTTTTCACAGGCACCAAGCATTATTGATGATATTGGNTGAGGGGTAAGAGTTCGATGTCTTAACCCGAGTCCTGACAATGACACAAAGCGTACTCACCACTGACGAGTCCCAAACAGGACGAAACAACTGTCCAGTGCTCTTTGTCGGTTATCGCAAACATTTCCACCGCATTTAAATTCAGCTTCTTGTTTGGATATTCGTGGTCCGCAGTAACCCCTTCAAACATTTGTTGCTTTGTTCGTTGCTGTGCCTTCTTAATGTCACGATTTTATACTGAGAGTGAGTCGTAAATAATGGCGTTCCTGTATATTCTCAATTTCTTGACAACCTTAATCCACTGAAATTCCCCATTTTCTCTTCAAATCTACTTTACTATCTTTGTCCTGCTATTTACACAAATGGGTTCCGACAGACAGCAACCAAAGCCGGCGCACGAAAGTGCATGGTTATTGGTTTTACAAATTGAAACTGAATGTCACGATGGGCATATTCCATGAACTTTTGCTTGTTTTGTAATTTGACTTGCTCCATGCACATCAACTTTCTCCACAGCACCTTAAAATAATTGCGTACTCGAAACTTCGCTAAGTTTACAGGCATTTGATATGGTCGGTTTCTGAACACCTATTCTTTAACGAAGTGCGGTTTTCATTGTCAGTTTGTACAACCATTAACCATGCACTTTGGTGCGCCGGTTTTGGCTGCCCATTTGGATGAAGCAGTAGGAGGAAAATAATAAGTTCGAAAGTAGGGTCGAAGAGAAAATTGAGAACTCCAGTAAACTATGGCTGCAAAGAAATTGAGATTCGCGAAAGCCACTGTTTGCGACACTCAGTCGTATCACTCAGTGACTCTAACCATCGGTTATGATCATCTTGAGGTCTCCATCCAAGGAGCCAGTGACCCAGTCTTCTGGTTAGGGTTTTCATACCCTCGAAGTACGATTAACAACTGAAATTTGAAATGTACAATACAACTCAATTTTTAATAAACTTATTTGTCCCGTCAGCGTGATACTTTGTTAACGAAACATGTGAACCCTTTGTAAAGGAATTATCTGGGAAGCGAACATTGTGTATGCTCATTGTATACAATAAATTGGATCGCATTCCGTACCCATGCCACTCACCAAGTACTCCCATCGATGAATGAAAACAAATTAACACTGTCAGAACAACCTGAGTAATACGCTTAGCTGTGGATTTCATGCGGTGGACTTACGTTGTTTTTAAGTAAATATTTCGCAGTCGACCATTTGTATGACGAATTTATGAGCTTCCATATCTACCCCTAAGTTGGGTGGGTGATTTAGTGTGAAAAGATCAGAGCGACCGATATGGTCCTAGTTGATAGAAAATTCACCGCCAATGTTTTAGATGATGTTTGTCTAAGTCTAAATCCCATATGGACTGCTAATCTTTTCAGAATTCAAATTC